TCTTGAAATACAATGTTGAATACACCCTTGAAAGCTACTTTTATAAATCAGTTTTGTAAATGAACTTTTACTAAATAGTTCATTTAAATTGTATTTAGTTGAATTAACAAAAGGAAATCTTGAAAGAAATTAAGGTAATTATCCTGATGATCTTTAAACGTGGAGCCTCCACATATCAAGAATGTGACCTTTCCACGAAAGTGCGAGTCTTTTCACTTTTTTTTTGGATTTCTCCACCAATCTATGATCAATTCAAATTTGACCCGCGTCTCTCGAATCCTCATTTTATACAATGCATCCAACGAATTCTTCAAAACACAAGTTTAAAGATTTAAGCTTTTGTGAGTTCAAGAATCAAGGGAAACACATAAGAAGAAAATATGGCGAAATTATTCATAAAGCAAGCAGAGCAATACGCAGCAGGCCGACCCAATTACCCGATCAAACTCTTCGACTTCATCGCATCAAAAACACGGTGCCACGACCTTGCCTGGGACGTTGGTACGGGAAGTGGTCAGGCCACACAATCGGTAACTAATAATGTTCTATAATTTCTAACAACTTCCAAATTTCTTACTACTCCTATGTATCCGAAAATTAATTGACATAATTTGATTGGTCCATATCTCTTATATATTACTATTTCAGTTTTCGATTACGATTTCTTAACTGGTTTTACTTTTTTCTTAAATTTTCAGCTTGCACGAGTCTACAAGAACGTGATTGCTACCGACACTAGCTCCAAGCAACTTGAGTTTGCTGCAAAGCTTCCCAACGTCCGTTACGAGCTAACTCCACCGGTTATGTCGCTGTCCGAGATCGAACAGCTAGTTGCGCCTGAATCATCGGTCGATTTAGTCACCGTCGCTCAAGCCCTTCACTGGTTCGAACTCTCGACCTTTTACAGAAACGTGAAACATGTGCTCAAGAAACCCAACGGTGTAATCGCCGCCTGGTGCTACACCAACCCGGAGGTTAACGCCACCGTAGACGAGGTTTTCCGGCGGTTTTACGAGGAGAGACTTGGACCGTATTGGGATCAAGCTAGACGTCTTGTGGAGGATGGGTACAGAGGAATTAAGTTTCCTTTCGAGAAGATCATGGATGATGAGTCAACGGAAAGTCAAAGTTTTCCGGTTAGGTTTGTGTCGGAGAAAGAAATGGTGTTTGAAGAGTTTATGACGTATTTGAGGTCTTCTTCGGCGTATCAAACGGCTCAAGAGAAGGGTGTGGAGCTTTTGACCGCGGAGATGGAAGGAGAGTTTGCTCGTTCGTGGAAAGAAGATGGTAACGAGAAGAAAGTTATTAGGTTTCCGATCTATTTGTTGATCGGTAAAGTCGGAGACTGTGTTTGAATATTTGTCCGGTCTATTTTGCTTTAAGAAACAGAGTTCCAAAACATGAATTGTAGTTTCTCGATCCCAAATTTCACTCTTATTTGAATTATTGAGAATTCGGATAATAATTTTTAAAATCCGGTTTGTTACAAAAGGGTCAAAATTGTAAACTTTTAGCCGAAATAATTGTTTGTCCTAGGGCCCTAATAATTTTGGGTTGTTCTGTAGATAAGAAATGGGACCATGAGTGAGGATGATAGTGTTACAAGAGTCGACGTTAAGAGAAACCATGTTTTGTAGTTCCAACTTCCTTGGGGATTGAATCTATTGCTTAGCCACTCGTGATATTTGTCCTCTTTCTCTCTTACGGCACGCGCGAGTACACGACATCTATGGTCACTACTTAGTAGTTTCCAACTTTGTCATTACTGTAGGAAAATATTTATAAATTAACAACAAAATGCCCGATGTTTTTGGGCTCATCTACTTTGTGGTAGTTCATATATAATCAGTATGGTAATCATCAAAGATCACAATTATTTGACATGATCAGATTTATGGATCAAAATCCAAACTATTCCAGGATGAATGACACTAGGCTATGTAACCGGGATGAATTTGTATAACAAACTCCACATCATAGTTTAAAACCCTTAACATTGAATAACATATAATTATTTATAACCAGGATTAATTACACTAAACGGTAGACTATTACATCTTTGTTATACAAAAATGCACGGGACAAAGATATATTGTTAGGGTTGGCATGATTTGTAGTTTTAGTAAAAAGACTCAAATATATCCGAGATGTTTCTTCGAAACTTCGAATACAATATCTTTGATTTTGGATTTGTTTCATCGATGCCAGTTCAAAGAGTATTGAGCGCACTACAAGAAAACAAACAGTATTCCGACGGGATTTCCGACGGCCGAAATTTCCGTCGGAATTTTCCGACGGCATACCGACGGATTTCTGAGCAAAATGAATCCGTCGAAAATCCGTCGGAATTTTTTGACGGATTTCCGACGGACACGGAAACCGTCGGTATTCCGTCGGAAATCCGTCGTCTTGTCCCGACGGATTTCCGACGGAAATAAGCTGTCGTAATTTCCCGACGACTTTCCGACGGAATAACGACGGAAATCCGATTTTTCCGATGTCGGCAACGTTTGATTGGTCAGCTCATACCGACGGAACTAATTCTGTCGGAATTTCGTCGGAAATTCGATGTCGGCAAATTTGAGTGGTTACCATTTCGTTAGCGGTGGCCGATGGGATTGTTGGGGTGTTATGTCGGAGGTTTGTGACAGATTTCCGACGGAAATCCGTTCTATATAAATTCTTACATTTCCTCGTTCCTTCATAACACAATTTTAAAAAGCGAAAAAATTTGTTAGCGATGAGTTCATATTTTCGGTCTTGGATGGACGAGCCAATGATGGATATGGGCTCGAACTTATTAACATCCGTATACGCTGCAGGTATATGCGAGTTCATGAATTTACCCAGAAACCAAGATGCAGCCAAAAAAGATCAGGATATCAAATGTCCATGTTCTAATTGCTGTAACAGAATTAGTGTTGCGGTTCATACTGTTTGGAATCACTTATATAGATATGGATTTAGGCTGAGATATAAGGTTTGGTTTTTACATGGAGAAAGCAATTATGAATATGGTAGTACCAGTAGTAATGCACCTTATTTTCCGGATAGCGTAGGAGAACGTACAGCAGAAGTAGATGTGGGGTAAGTACGGTTGCGATGGTTAACGATGCGTTTAGAGAGAATTTGCAGTCCGATGTTTATGAGGG